TCAGGGGGAATGATATGGGATAAGGCAGATAGCCAGGTTAGGGCCACTGTTGTGGGTTTCTTGGACAGAGACACAGCACCGAGGCTTATAGCAGGAAGCAGTGTTTATTCATGTTGGCATGGGCCCAGTGAATCGACATTCCAAGGCTGAACCCCAAACAAAGCAGGGCATTGCCTCTTGAACAATCTCAGTTCTCTGTCTCCCTTATATGGTTACACACATAAAGTTTCAGGGTTGCTGTAGGGTTGTTACAGGGTTATGCATGTGTACGTAGATACTGATTATGCCACATGGTTCTTATTGTTCTGGGAGGGTCCTCAGCTTTTCCTTTGATCCAGGAGGCCCTTAACTTTCCTTTGGAAAGCCCCTACCTCATTCCCCGCTGTGATGCTCAGACCCTCTCAGGGTCAAAGAGCACTGCCTATTCCATTGTGACATGGGTGGCCATATTTCTTTTTATTTAATGATGTCCTTGATAATATTGGTGATGGTCCTTAATGCCAAGGGAGCCAGGCACAGAGGAACTAAATAGGCTCCTAGAATCAAACTACAGTGCCCACAGTGGCAGGGAACCAACCACCAAATAATTCACTTGGGGAGACTGTTGCCAAGCCTATGGCAAGAACCAGGGCCTTAACTACAATCATAGATAATCACAAAGGGTGACAGTGCATTACAATAAGAAACATAAGCAGTCCATAAGCAGTATATTCTATGAACAGTCTTGAATAGGTTATTTATCTTGTAAGTTGTGGTCCTGTGGGCTCCTCAAGCTTCCATCATGCACAGATTGGTCAGCCTCTGGAGGGACCAGGCAGGGCTGTAGTCTTTGGAGGTCTCTCAAGATGAGGCTTAGTTTTTTTGTTTGTGTTTGGGTGGTCAACTCGCACGGTGCTGCCTTGTCAGAGAAGTGCTCTAGGTTGCTTCACCCTGCTGTGGTGGAGCCAGGGGACCACCTCAGCCACCTGTAGTTCAGATCCTAAATAATATGGATTAGCACCTCTTCCATAGCCAGAAGTGGGCCAGTAACGTGTCGTTCACTCTAGAAGCGGCAATGCGCAGTGACCTGTGTACTCTGTGGTGACTTCCCAAGAATGAACCACTCCACCCTCTGCAGTACACTGCAAGCAGCCTTTGTTTTACTACATCAGCCAACCTTAGATGGCAATGTCCAGATTTTATATCATTTTTTTTCAGTTTAGGGTCAGTATTTTTAGTTTTAATCCTTACTTTTTAGATGAAAAGAGGTGAAAGAGTTTTCTTAGCACCTCACTATGGGTGCTGTACCAAGATTTTAGCATTAGGTGTGAGAATACTAAATATATCAAGCCAGCATTTTTTAAAATAGGGGCCCTCTCTGGAGGATATAGTTCCAACAGGGTCCTGTTGAGACAGTTTCTATCAACTGATCACATATAAGAGCATTTTAAAGCCACATTGTAGCAACAAAGAGGTTTTACATGGGATGGTCCTTGGGTTAACTTCACATGAAGTTAACGTATGCCACTGGTGGTGTCAAGACCTCAACATCTGGGTTTCTGTCCTCATTATGGTGCCAGAGTGCTCATACACATCCAAGAAAAAGTTCAGCTGTGTCTGGGAGCCCTAGAGCTGGGGCATTTATGAGGGTCTGTTTAATTTTTTGAAAGCCTTTGGTGTCTGTCCCCAAGGCAGGGTCTCTCTTCCTCCCTCTTTGTAGCTTTTTAAACGGGTTTGACAATAATTAGGTGGATGGCTGGTGCCGTGGCTCACTTGGCTATTCCTCCGCCTGTGGCGCCAGCACCCTGGGTTCTAGTCCTGGTTGAGGCGCCGGATTCTGTTCCGGTTGCTCCTCTTCCAGTCCAGCTCTCTGCTGTGGCCCAGGAAAGCAGTGGAGGATGGCCCAAGTGCTTGGGCCCTGTACCCGCATGGGAGACCAGGAGGAAGCTCCTGGTTTCGGATCGGTGCAGCACACCAGCCGTAGCAGCCATTTGGGGATTGAACCAATGGAAGGAAGACCTTTCTCTCTGTCTCTCTCTCTCTCTCTCCCTGTCTAACTCTGCCTGTCAATAAAGAAATAAATAAATAGGTGGATGTTAAGGCTCGGCTGGTATATATACGGCCTGGACGTATCTCCACACAGTAGCAAACTTGAAGAGACATAGTAAGGGAGTTGTGACCCTCCTTAGGGAAGACACCCCATTGACTCCATTGCCTGGCTGGCCTGAATAGGAGGTTAGTATCCAATATGTGGCATCTTTAAAATGCAGTGTACAGCCCTGCCTGCGACGTTACTGCCCCTAGGCCATCCCCTCAATAGTGGTGGTGACTTGGGAAGCTGGGCAGAGAGAAGGGCTTTTTTTCAGCCTGGAGCCAACAGGGTCTGTGGTTCTGACCTGGAAGCCCTTCTGCCCCTGGGCAGTTCTGTTTTTAGTGACCCAGCTCTTGGTAGAACTGACAGGGCTCTTTGGAAGCTGGCTTCTGTCATGACAGCTGTTTGCCCAATGTCCTGGCTTTCCACATCAAAAACCGGTGCCATTTGGGGTAGATTGGCCTTGTTGGGTCTCCCTGATGGCAGATCACTGTGTAAAGCTGTTATTAGTTGACTGCCACCTGTCTTTTACTTGTCTCCTACTGTCTAGCTTGTTCCTATTTTTCCTGGTCCTTGTTAAAGTGGACCACAGAGGCAGCCTTTTGGATGTCAGCCAAGGTAGTACTTGATCCCATTCCTAATCTTTGGTGGCCTGAGCTAGAAATCTGTAGTCACAGGCATGTCTTGACAGTGTTTTTTCCTGTGAGGTAAGACAACACCCATGTGGAAAGTTATGTCTTTTTAGTTATAATCGAAGCATGATGGCCACCTTACCCAACCTGTTTATAAATTTGAAGTCATTAGTAAAACTTGTTATTTCTCCCTTAGTTTGGTTTGAAAGGGGGGATTGCCTGTCTACTGTGCCCATGGCAACATTAATCTAGCTGTGAAATCATTTGGAAGAGAAGAGAGAAATGAGGCAAGAAGTCAGGCTTTCCATGCTGCTCACCAAATATCAACAGTTCATGAAAATATTTACCAAAAGACCCAAAGTCTTTTATAATTTTTAAGTCAAGAGTACATGTATTTGGAAATATTTATCCTTTGAATTTATTAATTTATTTTTAACAATTATACTTACATTATCTAAGAAACTAAAGTATTAGATAAGCGTAGTTATTACCTTATGTCATGATCTTGTGAAAGAACAACTCTAGAAGGTAAATTGGATATTATTCCCTTACCTATATTATTTTTAGGTCAATATTATACATCTAAGCTTGTTAATTGTAAATATGTAACATGTTTGACTAGCAAACCCAAGCACAAATATGTCAATGAGTTAAAACATTTTTAGGGTTTTGTTTTTGTTTTTTTTTTTTTTTTTTTTTTGACAGGCAGAGTGGACAGCGAGAGAGAGAGACAGAGAGAAAGGTCTTCCTTTGCCGTTGGTTCACCCTCCAATGGCCGGTGTGGCTGGCGCGCTGCAGCCAGCGCACTGCACTGATCCGATGGCAGGAGCCAGATACTTATCCTGGTCTCCCATGGGGTGCAGGGCCCAAGCACTTGGGCCATCCTCCACTGCACTCCCTGGCCACAGCAGAGAGCTGGCCTGGAAGAGGGGCAACCGGGACAGAATCCGGCAGCCCGACCGGGACTAGAACCCGGTGTGCCGGCGCCGCAAGGCGGAGGATTAGCCTAGTGAGCCGCGGTGCCGGCCAGGTTTTTTTTTTAAACAAATTTAAAACAACCTACCAGAGATTTATTTGAGTCACATGAACCAAAAAGGCATTTTGGGTTAATTTAACAGTTTTAATTTAGATAAGAGCTCTTTTATCTATAAGCCAATTAAAACAGAGCTCTTAATAGATTTTTTTTAAGTAGGCACAACATATAACATGTGCCCTCAGTTAACACGTATGTAACATGCATCACAAGGCAGAATAATAAAATAGTTTTTGTAGGGGCTTTTTAAAAATAAGTCTTTAACTGATTTTAAAATTTACCATCACTTGATTAGAATTATCTTTTGTTTTTGGTAATCTGAATTAACCATAATGTTTTTTCAGTTGGAACCCATAGTATATTGTTAAACTTAGCTTTATCTGTTTACAGAGCTGTTCCAAAGTATTGACTACAGTAGAAGTCATGGAAGAAGTCCTTTGGAACCCGGAAGAGGCAACATCTAAACACAAAACCAACAATCTTTTAATTTTCATGAGCAGTTTGTTTTTGCATTTTTATTTTTCAGAGCTTAGGAAATTCTTATTTAATCCATTGATTTTAAAGTTGCCAAAAAAACTTGTATTTAAGAACATTTGTTAGAGTCTTTTTTAAAATATGAATCTGATTATAAGTGGTTTTAGAGGAGAATACAAAACTGTGGTGAAAAGAGACTTTAAATAGACATGGTTAAATTATAAAATTTATTAATTGACAGGAAGAGGCACCTGTTTACAGAATATTTTAGAAAGCACCTGTAGAATTTTATAAACATTCCTTTTAGGCCTCTGGGCCTTTTTACTAAGATAACTATCATGACTGATAATAACACAAGATCATTAGACTTTTGTAACTTTTGGCCATTTGTATTAGTAACATTTTATATTATCATAACTTAAAGTTTAGTGCCACTTCACTTCTTAAAATTACATAATCCAAATAGCTTAATTAGTCTGTGTCTCTGCGAGATGAGAGATACAGCCTCGGAATTTCCAAGGGCCCAACTGGAAATATGAAAGTCCAAATTCAAAGGATCTAGAACTCTGAATTTCAGGAAGCTTGTCAAAGACAAGCTTAAAATCAGGAGGGCTTAAAATATCTAGTCAAAATAAGATTTCTTAACACTGTGAAATAATATCCGTCTATTTAGTCAGGGTGATTTAACCAGTTATAGATCAGATTTATTTATAGTTATAAATAAAGTGATTGCTCAGATACTTAACATAAATGCATTTCCAAAAATAACATTAACTCTTTCAAAACTCAGCTCTTTTCAAACAGTCAGAACCAGACAAGAGCTTCGAGGGCAGCTTGTCATCAATCTGAATCGGGGGAATCCAGACCTACACCTGGACTCAGGAACAGAAATTGAATCATTATTTCAGTATGTATCCTTCTTAAACGAGTGATGCACTCAGCTGAAACATCTGCACAAGTGTCTCATCCCCAGAATTTGATTTATCATCTTTCTGTGCGCAGTTTCACAGCAGTTCTAGCGACCGGTGCTATGCTCCCCTGGCCATGGTGGCAAACGTGCTGTAAGCCTGAGGCCAACCTTGGCTTCCGCTGGCAGGGCCAGTGTGTGGGCCTCCACATCCTGGCCATCTGAGCCTATGCGCATAGCTGCAGAGGGACCTGGGGTCCAGGGCGCACTGACTCCAGACTTAGCCATATTCAGCGAGTTATGGGGTTTTACATCTTTCAGCTGCAGTTTCTCATAAGCAATGTGAAAATGTCCTTGAACCGTAGACTGTCTTACAACCTGCATCAAAATAGGATGCTATAGTGTTGGAAAGCATCTGCGCCAACGCTGAAAAGTGTGTGTGTGTGTGCGTGCGTGTGCGCACACATGTGCATGTCATGTGTCGCTCCCCCTCTTCGTGGAGGAACGACACAAGACCCTGCGCTGTTCTTTTGTCTGCTCGGCCCTCCCCGGGTTTGCTGCTGGTTCTTCCTGGGTTGGCTACCAACCCTTCCACCTCTGTGGAAGGGCGGTTCCCCCTGGCCACTTTCCCCACTTCCGCGGGGGAGCAGCACACCGCCGGCCGGCTCTCTCGGGGGCTGCACAGGTGTTCCCTCAGATGTTCCCCTTAGATGTTCCTGGTGCATGTTGTCTCTCTCCTCCTTTACAGTCCTCTTCCACCAATCCCAACTCTGCTACCCACACGCCGAGTACGCTGCTCTCCTCCAATCAGGAGCAGGTCCTGCTGCTTATTGGTTGAACTGGAGGCAGCTGCGTAGAAGCTGTTTTCTCCTCTCCCAGCGCCATATTGTGGGAGAGCAGATGCATAGAATAAGTCTTAATTCCAGTAACTTAGTCTAGTCCGAGTTGCTCCCAGTTGCTCCCCACAGTCATGCTTGTTTGTTTTACAGTGTAACGGACTGGTTTCACTAGTACTGTGACCAGCTGCCTTTCTCCCCATCTCTCCAGACCATGAAATATTCAGCACTTAAACAAGAAGACGCACCTGCCACATCCTCTTTGCCCAGCAACAGATCTGCGGTAACTCACTGTAATGCCCAGATTCTTCCCTCTCTGTGACTCCCTATGCAGGCTAGGATAATTTTTTCCAATTGCATGCTCTTTGCAAATGTTTGTTGATTATGGTACCTCCTCTCCTGGGGTTTGCTGATGAGCAGTCCTGGTATCGGCTGTGCAGATCTACAAGGGCATTACCCATGGCATCCGCCATAAATGCTCCGGGAGCCCAGTGGGGCTGAGCACTCAGGCAGCTCCCTAGCAAGAAGTACTCATGTCTCCTTGTACTGAGTTCAAGCTTTGGTGCGGCGAATGCCCAGCCCCTTGCAGCAGCCTCCCTCCCAGTGGAGCTGGTCGGGCCGTCACTCCCTGAGTCCCAGGCACTGGTTGCTCCATACACATGTAGGTTTTCTCTTTCTATTGAAATCCAGTGTTGTTTTGCAAGGACAGGAAGGCCTCAACTGAAAGGCAGTACTGTGGCAGCTGTTTTGTCCCCCTAATGCTTCTGAGGTCCGGTGGTCTCTCACTTTCTGGCTCAGTGCAATAAACCTTCCTTCCACCCACTTGTTTTCTGTTTCCCAACAAATTCCCATCAACATGTATGCATTTCCCTATTTGTAAAGCTTATTTTATTTCTATCAACTTGATAGTTAATGTCCATCCAATGGATCATCTTCAGGTTAGCGCTTCCCCCCAGAATAAAAAACCATAACTGCTTCTGCTGAACTTGAGTTAACCTAAGACGTGGCAGCAGGCACATCTTAAATTAGTCAGATTCGACAAATGCAGAGCTCAGGCCCCAGCTGCAGATTCCAGGAGGGCAGTGGCCACCCCTTGGGAGTGTTTGGGCCCCTCTGAGAGGGTCCTGCTGTCCAGGGCTCCCCCAGGCCTCAGGGTTGCTTCAGACAGCAGAGAGTGACTAAATTCATGTCACTGGGCAACTTTTTATCTCCTGAGTTATACAGGTGTTTATGGCAATTTGCTTCCGGATCTCAGCTGGGAGCATCTTTGAACCCAGGGAACTCACCCTGAATACCTGCTCACCGCTGCACGGACCAATTTCCCTCTGACATCCTGTGCATTTACAGTAGGATTTTCCTGGAATAACCATGAAAGTTTTGTGTCTGTTTTTTAAAACAATATCCAAATTGTATAAATGGCTATTTTACACATCTCTGTGTAAACCAAAATAGAACAACTTAGAAAAATCACACAATCGGGGCTGCCACCGTGGTGTAGTAGGTTAAGCCTTTGCCTGCCATGCCAGCATACCATACGGGTGCCGGTTTGAGTCCCAGCTGCTCCACTTCCAATTCAGCTCCCTGCTAATGCACCTGGGGAAGCAGCAGAAGATGGCCCAAGCACTTGGGCGTCTGCACCCACATAGGAGACCCGGATGGAGTTCCAGTCTCCTGACTTCAACCTGGCCCAGTCCCAGCTGTTTCGACCACCATTTAGGGAGTGAACCGGGAGATGGAAGGTCTTTCGCCCTCTCCTTTTGCTCTCTAACTCTGCATTTCAAATAAATAAAATAAATCCTTAAGACAAGATGCACAGGGATTTCTAATAATGGTTTGTTTCAGTGTAAGTAATGAGAAACCGCACCTACCCCCTCACCTAGCGCTGCCATCAGTACTGACTCCTCCTTTTTCAGTGATGATTTATTTTTATTTTCAGGATTTCATTGTCTTCCATGAACTGTTCACCAGCAGTGACGCAGCTCTGAGTTTAGGATAATCACGTATCATGAATACACATCTGGAGGGACTCTGCGAAGGACGCCTCTTCTGGGGAATGACGCACTCGTGGAGCCAAGTGCGCAGTCCCAGGTGCTCTGTGAGAAGCGGCTGTTTCACCCGCAGGGATCTGTGAGCCAAGACACAGAGCATTCGTGATGGGCAGCTCACGGGCCCTCCCCAGATTCCCTGCTGGCTGACATGGAGGACAGCAGCTCTAACTGTTTGCTTTCACCTAGGTTGTCCCCAGGGACTTCTAAGCAGCAAACGCACCCTGTGGGTGAGTCTCACGAGGCTGCTGAGGGGCTCTCCCAGCCTTGCAGGGAGTGGGCTACAGCTGCCATGCTCCCCCCACCCCCCCGCCGTCCCTACCACAGGATGCCGTGAAAGGGTTGAGATGATCCAGTGTGTTTGTAAAACTCACATCTCTTGAGAGCTCTTTCCTTTACATTTTAAAAACATTTCCCCTAAACAGATGCCCAGAGACTTTGCAAACAATAACAGAAGAGTGCGGAGCTTGGGTTTCATGGAGGACGCGTTCCTCCCCACTGCTTTTGGCAAACGTTAGGGGAAAGCACCGAGAGTCAGCCCAGGTGTAGACGCCCCCTCCTCAGATGGTCCCAGGCTCCATTTTCAGGGACAATTTAAATGCCTGTGTACGAAATCCACACAGAACAATGTTTTGCATTGTTTTTTCTGTTCTCCAAAACCAAGAACCTCACCTAAGCAAATGTTCCTAAGAAAAGGCAGCATGCACACCGAGGAGCATTACTGTGGTACATTGGAGAACAGACACTGCCCAACAGCACAACAGCAGACACAGAGAAAGCAGGAAGGAATGCTATTGGCAAACAACAGATTTGCAGATCAATAGGACAGAAAAAAGACCTGAATTTGACCCATGTTAATGTAGTCAGCTTATTCTGACAAATGAAGAGATCATCTTTTCAACTAAAGTGATGGAACAGTGAACAGTCTTATGTAATAACTAAATCTAGACACAAACTTTATGACTTTCATAAAATAACTCAAGATGGAACATGGCATAAATGTGAGATGTATTATTATAAAACTTAGACAAAAAGGGAAATAAATCTATGTATTTCTGGGTTTGACAATAAGTCTTTAGGCACAATGTCAAAAATACAATTCATGCATGAAAATCCTGGTAACTGCTCACTGATAAATGATAAATGGCACTCTGTGCAGACACTTCTGGAAATCAAGACAAGCTGCAGACTGCGGGGAATCTGCAAACCACACATCTGATCTTTGACTTGTCCGGAAAACACAGGAAAGCATTTAAACCTCAACATTTAGTACTCACAATAAGTAGAAAATAGCATAAGAAATGTGCAAACAATTTGTAAAGGCACCTCACCAAAGAAGAGACACAGAGGCCAATGATCACGTGGAAATAAACTCATAATTGTTTCCTGTCAAGGAATCGCCAATTATAACATCAATGAGATACCACTTCATGCTATCAAAAAGAGAAAAACGAAGTTAAAAAACCCAACACTATCAAATGCTGACGGACAGACAAAGCATGGATGTCTTTGGAACTCTGTCTGTCTTCCAGACCTCAATGGAGCCCTAGCCTGTGCATGGCCCAGTAGCTATGCTCCCAGTTCACCCACTTTATCTGAAGCCTTGTGTCCACACAAAAGCCTGAATGCAAACATGTACACCCAAGATCTCCTTCCTCTTGTGAATGGATTAAGCAAACTGAGTATATCCACACAATTGAATATTTTTTATCTGTAGGAAGAAATGAGGCGGCAAGCCACAGATAGGGGTAAAATGTAAATGTGTACTTCTTAAGTGAGTGAAGCCAGTCTAGAAAGGCCGCCTGCTGTGTGACTTCAAACTGTATGCCCTGCAATGACCAGCGGTTACCAAGGTGCAGTGAGGAGGGACGGGTCCGGTCAGGGAGCCCAGGAAGTTGGTTCCAAGGTCACAGAACTGTAGGCAAATAACTGATCTTCTGTATATAAAGAGAAATGAAAATGAATCTTGATGTGAATGGAAGGGGAGAGGGAGCGGGAAAGGGGAGGGTTGTGGGTGGGAGGGAAGTTATGGGGGGGGGAGCCAATGTAATTCATAAGCTGTACTTCAGAAATTTATATTCATTAAATAAAAGTTAAAAAAAATGACATGGTGGCTACGTGAGTTGACAAGCATTTCTCAAAACCCATTTCCCAACACAAAGAAACGCCTTTCAATGGTGCAACAAAAGTGAGATCTTTAGGCTCCTAGGAAGGAAAGTCACCTTCAGCAAGAGACCTCCTGCATCACAAATGTGTAAACCAGTCCCACTGACAGGCTGGGAAATACTGTCCTCAGGAAATGGAGTCAGTAAGTCCACAGGCAAAAGGGACTGCACTTGGTTCTGCTATTGACAACGTTGTCCCTTGGGGTTTGGGATGATAATTGATGCCACCATCTACATATGTAAATAGGCCCTGGGTGGTGGGGGCTAGCCCCTCCCTGTGCCATTGATTGACAGATGGGCAAAGGGAGGAAGCTGGAATAGCCCAGGTCACAGGGGATTAGAGCTGGGGACATCAGCATGAACCCAGCTTTGCTTCACACAGATACAGATGGTTCCATACAGAGATACATAGTTATTAACTGCACATGCATGGGCTAGTGCACACACACACTTGCACAAATACCCGTGTGGGGACATACATGAACACACAGGTGTGAACACACAGGTATGCATGCACGTGCACACACCATACTTTTTTTTTATCTCATTTGACAAGGCCAAAAGAAATGAGACCCCAGGTGCAGCTGCATACCTAACCTCAGATCTTGTTTCTTTAGGCGGTTTTCCAATAGGGAACCAGGGTAGCTCGAAGAAACGCCTGGTTCTAGGACTGGAGTAGGAATTATGCAGTGAGCCTGAACCAGCTTGTAGTGCCAGAAATAAAGGAAATGATCAGAAACAAACCAATGGCCGGCGCCGCGGCTCACTAGGCTAATCCTCTGCCTTGCGGCGCTGGCACACCGGGTTCTAGTCCCGGTCGGGCTGCTGGATTCTGTCCCAGTTGCCCCTCTTCCAGGCCAGCTCTCTGCTGTGGCCAGGGAGTGCAGTGGAGGATGGCCCAAGTCCTTGGGCCCTGCACCCCATGGGAGACCAGGAAAAGCACCTGGCTCCTGCCATCGGATCAGCACGGTGTGCTGGCTGCAGCGCGCCGTGCTGGCTTCAGCGCGCCGGATGCGCCGGCCATTGGAGGGTGAACCAACGGCAAAAGGAAGACCTTTCTCTCTGTCTCTCTCTCTCGCTGTCCACTCTGTCAAAAAAAAAAAAAAAAAACCAACAAGCAAAAATCATGACGCACCTGTTGGGTAGCACAGGAGGTGACTGAAGAATCCCGGTGGGCCAGTGTGGTACAATTTGAGCAACCAAATAAAAAAGCCAACTTTGGATCACAACTCCATGATGTTGGCAAACGAGTATGTGGACAGGGAGGGCACACTGTCCAGACAGAAGAGCCTGATAGCCAGGGCAGGTGCTGGGAGGCTGTGTATGCTGCACTGTGACTTCCTTCCCAGCAGGGCAGCACCTTGAGGGGCCAGGAGAAGCAGCTGACGGGGTGGGAATGAGGGCAGCAGGTGACCACGGGGTCATGGTCAAGTCCGGCGGTCATGACTGCTGCCTGTAGCAGAATGTGTCTCTCAGTGGGACGCAATGACAGCCACCCTTTACCACTGTGGTCTTCTTCCCATGACCTGTGAACCTCATCTTACTGCAAAACCCCTCAATGAAATTCAGACTAAGGGGTATCCTACAAAACACTTAACCAGTATTCTGCAACAGTGTCACAGTTGTCAGAAGCAAGGAAGGGCTGAGAAACTGTCACCTGCAAGAGGAGCCTCAGGAGCCCCAATGTCTCGCGGTAACCTGGGCAGGACAGAAGGGACAGAGCAAAACCAAGGAGACCCGGACAGACTGCAGGCTTCAGTTACATATTGGGTCACTGTCATCTTTATTACATATTTATTAAGATTTATTTGAAAGGCAAAGTGATAAAGCAGAGAGAGGAAGAGTAGGAGAGAGACCCTCCATTTGCTGATTCATTCCCCAAATTATCCCAACAACAGGGGCTGGGTCAGGCTGAAGCCAGGAGCCAGGAATTCCATCCATGTCTCCATGGTGCCACATGGGTGGCAGGAGCCCAGGTACTTGGGCTATTCTCTTCTGCTTTTCCTGGCACATTAGTAGGAAGCTGGATCAAAAATGGAGCAGCTGGGACCCAAATTGGCCCTCCAATATGGGATGCTTGCATAACAAGCAGAGGCTTACTTTGCTGCACCAAAGCACTGGCCCCCATTTTTTTTGTGTGTGTCTCCTTGACTTCTTTTTTTTATTTAATAAATATAAATTTCCAAAGTACAGTTTATGGATTACAATGGCTTTCCCCCCACATAACTTCCCTCCCACCTGCAACACTCCCATCTCCCGCTCCCTCTAACATTCCATTCACATCAAGATTCGTTTTCAATTCTCTTTATATACAGAAGATCAATTTAGTATATATTA